TACTGATCATTCTTCTCTAGTTTGCGAATTAAGTGATCTAATCGTCTTTTGCTCCCTCTCTCATTCGATGCTAATGTAGGATGGTTGCCCTTCCATGGCAATTTTGTTTCGTACCACCCAGCATCGTTTCTTTCCAGCTGCTCTTTAAACTCTTCATACATCTCCTGCTGATCATTCTCATGTGAATCTGCTAGTCCTAGCACGTCTAAAGCACAGAGCTGTTCGTAATCTGTTAATGTTGATTGTGTCACAAACACTCGACTCTCTTGATCCTCTTGGCCTGGCGACATAATTGTCCACCCCAGTTGTGTTTTCTCGGCCACAGGCTGCCCAGGGGATCCGATTCTTAGAGGCGTTGACGTCTTGATTGCTGCATACTCGCCGGCACTTAGTACGACATGGATTGGGATTTGTTCTCTATCATCGCCGTCTGCTATCTTGATTCCATTGAGATGATTGTACTTTGCAAATAGACTTTCATAATTTGGGTTCTTGACCATCATGATTTCTGATTTATGGACTTTCGACAACTCAATCTCCTTCACAAACTTCCCATCAACAGAAGACAGCTTAGCTGTATAAGTCTCAACTTTAGTTGTAGTAGAACCCAGCATCGTTTCGATTCTTCTTGTCTTCACATTGTTTGGTTTCTTCTTCAGTACACTTATCAGTTTCGCAGAGGCGTATGAACTGCCAGACCCAGTGTCCAACAGTGCATGGGTTTTAACACCGTCTATCTCAATAAGCACAATAGGATATATAACCCCCTGTTCACCTTCTTTACTCGCTGTCAGTCCTGCTTCAGGTTTTGGTGGGTCGTTGGGAACATCACAAATTGATGTGTGGTGTCGTCTTTTACAATTCTTGCAAGTGCTGGTACTTCTGCAATCTGATGCTCGATGAGATGGACCGGTGCAATTGAAACAAAGCTTCTTTCTCGCCAGGATTTTTCTGCGTTCTCCAACAGTTGTGACCGATTTGCATTCCGACGACCGATGCTCTTCTTTGTCACAATACACACAAGCCTTTCGGGTTCCAGGTTGAGCACCACCTTTCTGCTGGGTGTGAAAACATCCTCGGGGCTGTTCTCGTTTCTTTTGCGTGTCATCATGCTTGGGGCTGTCAAGTGGATTCCTCCTGGTCCAGAATTGCAAAGCTTCAGTTAGTTGAACGTATGTCCAATCTTCCCATTTAGTATCGTTACGGGCAAGATCTCCCCTGATCGCAGGTAGCTTTTCCAAGGTCATGGAAACAGTGCCATTCACTGCGTCTAGCTTCTTCAACGTTTCGAGTGACTGCACACAATATGCCAATTTATCATGAAACTCATGGATTTTCTTCACATTTGCAGTCGGTATATGGGGCAATTCCATAATTTCCTTGACAAAGCATTTGACTATTTCACATTCCTTCCCGAATCGGTCTTTCAATATGGCAGTAGCTCGGTTATAGCCCTCTGCGGTATGGGGCAAAGCTTCGATTGTCTTTCTTGCTTTCTCACACAATAATTCCTTTAAGTAAGAAAATTTACTCACAGCCGGTATACTTGATTTATGAATAGTTTCCGAGTACAAGTTCCAAAATCTTGGCCAATCTTTGTAACTTGCGTTGAATTCCGAAATTTGAAGCTTAGGCAATTTCGCTTGTAATTTGCTGACTTCGTCCTCTTCCTTCCCGGATGTTGGTTTAACAGACACTTCCGCTTCCGCTTGCATTTTAATTTTCGCCTCGTGTAATTTAAGCTCAAATTCGATTCGTTTTTCCTGCTCTTGTTTTTCCCGTTCAGCTTTTTGCTCGTGTTGAATCTCTTCTAACCTGAATTCCTTTGTTTTAAGCCATTCTTGCAACTTTTCAATCGCTTCGTCACCGCTTTCCATTACGCTTTCGATTTCGCTATTCCATTCGTCAATTTCGTCGTCGTTTACACCCTCGGAAATTTTTGTCGCTTCGATTTCCCGTCTCAATTTATTTATTTCGGACAGAGTTTCTTTAATAGTATCCACATGTCTAACGATTGCTTGTTCTTTTCCATTGTTTACTATAGTTTCGGTCTTCCCAATCGCTCGTTTTAGTTGCGTTATCTTCGTCTCGAGTGCCGTAACTTCGAGTTCAAGCGGCATGTTGTTTACTCTAAACCTTCGCTTATATTATTCTAATTTAAAGGTTTTACTCACATATTCTGGGCTTCAACTTCGCATCGGGGGTGCCAGGTGTTGGGAATTTCGGTTTAAGTATCACCAACAAATCACTAGTTGTATTTTTGATATATAATATCTCAAATCACTCTCGTATCACATTTTTTACAATGGTTTCGCAGTCAAAGTCTCTCACAATAACAAAAATTCCTGATTTAAAGGAAAACTATGTATCACGCTATCGCGCGTGGAGTTCACGTGTTCTATTACTATTTTAACTATAGACTGAGGTAAAGTCTCCGACACAGCCATCATCAATCCCTACTTATCGCAGGGCCTGGAAACTTTATAGCCAATTTTCTTCTGCGGTATTTCAATCGGCTTTAGTCCGTATGCCTATCTCACCTTCATATTTAGGACTATTTATAGATATTTATAGCGTACATGCATGTTTCAGCACAAATATGCGGCCTCCACTGCCACACTTGTGTCTCTGCACTTGGTTATTGTCATCGTCTGGCTAGAGTTTAGGTTTTTGTCGAGTGTCGAGGGTCCAATGTCGAGGGTGAGGGTAAAAAGTCGAGGGTCATAAAAAAAGTCGAGGGTCATAAAAAAAGTCGAGGGTCGAAATTTGCGGGCAAAATAACTTGTTTAATGTTGTGACATGGACTTATCATATATATGTATGCAGAACTACATTAACTTTTAAAAGATATTACCTTGCGTAAATTTTCTAAGCGATTATTTTCTAAGCCCCTTCACGCTCGCAAGTTAACATGTTTATGTCTAATATGAGAACGGTCTCTTTGCTTTCTTAGCAAATTAACGTAACAGCATAGATTATCGGGCAGCTGTAATCCTCAAGCCAGTCAATTAAATGGCAATACATTAAGGCAAAATATATTACCAATAGCAAGTTATGATAAAAAAACTTGTGTGGTTTTCTGCTAGATCGGAGCGCGGTGCAGATATGCCACTGTTTCAACTAGAAACCAATTAACGCTAAATGATTCAGTCAATATTACTTGTTTCGTTATATGACAAAAAGCACACAAACCAACTACAACATACTTCGATATATTTAGCTAACTAATAATACGAAATGTTTACTTGGCTTAAATAGGCTACTAACTAATTATACATGCATGCAAATATTTTTATAATTGTTTTTATGAATATTGCAACATCCTCCCTTTCATAGAGAAAGAGATTCTATCGTTGTTGTCTATTTATCTGATAAATAAGTAAACGTTTATGATCCCACTAGGTACTATAATCGTCCAAATACTTCGGTCTTTGACTAATTCTACCACTCCGCGTTCGAGTAATTATACTGTCTCTCATGTCACCAGACAGCATACCGGACTCAGTACTGCTTTGGGCGCCTCGATCTGGATCCGGAATAAGCTCGGGAATAGGGTCTGTTTCTCCATCAAAATCGCTTGATCCCCGCTCGGCAACTTCAGGTGTTTTAGGTAATTCTTGGATCTGTTGATGATCATCGCCATTTGCAGATCTTGATTTTGCTTCCTTCAAATGTCTTCGATTCCGAATAAGAGTTCGGTCATTCTCTGTTTCGACTTCATAGGACCTGATACCCGCTTCTCTTAAAACGGTTGCTTTCTTCCATTCTCGATCCCCAACTTTGACTGGCTGTATCCATACTTGGTCACCTGCAGCCAATGCTGGTAAATCTCTTGCTCCCCAGTTGTAAAATTTCTTCTGTCGTCCTTGACGAGCTCTTCTTTGCTGTTTCGTGTTTTCAATAACTGCTGGTTTTAGCAAACCTTTCGAAATTGGCAAAACAGTTTTGGTCCGCCTGCTCATCAGTCGCTGTGCTGGGCTTGAACTGAAACCTTCTTGAGGAGTATTTCTGAGGTCCAACAAAGCTAAATGTGGGTCTCGTCCAGACATCTTGGCTACTTTCAGGACTCGTTTAGCTTGTTTAACAGCGGCTTCGGCCATTCCATTTGCCTGATGATAATGCGGGCTAGTCATGGTATGCTTCATTCCATAACTCGCACAGAAATTCTTGAATTCTCCAGAGGTAAACTGAGGACCTTGATCACTTATTAATTCTTCAGGAATGCCATACCGCGCCAAGTGCGCCTTGAGCTTTCGAATAACGGATACGGCCTGCGTACTGTAGAGGCGGTCAATCTCGAAAAAATTCGAGAAATAATCAACTGTTACCAAATACTCCTTGCCATCGAACTCGAACAAATCTGTGGCGATCTTTCCCCATGGCCGGTCAGGAACCTCGTGACTGATGAGTGTTTCTTTTGATTGCTTAGGCCCAATACTACAACATAAGTCGCATTTTTTTACATAATCTTTGATCTCCGCATTCATATTTGGCCAGTACATGGTTTCTCTCGCCCTTCTCAGAGTTGCTTCGATCCCTTGGTGACTGGCATGAAGACTTTCCATCATTGTCTTTCGATGTGCCTTGGGAATAACTAGTCGATCACCGCGTAATATCAGCCCATCTTGGACCACCAATTCATCACGGATATGAAAGTAGGACCCCACTGCGGCTGGCAGGTTGTTCTTAACCACAGGCCATCCGGACTGTATGACTCTCTTTAACACCTGCAAATCTTCATCTTGATCTGTTTTATCTCGATACATGTTAGCAACATCTTCATTCGCCAACAATTGGTTGATCTCCATGATTTCCTCATGCTCTCCCTGCTCTATCTCCACATCTGACAAGTAATTCAGAACATCTGCTTCTCTGGTCTCTTGTACCGCTGTCAGATAGTGTCTACTTAGCGTATCTGCAAGATATAATTCAGTCCCTCTTTTGTATCTCACACTCAGGTCATACATTTGTAGCCGCATCAACATTCTCTGTAATCGTCTGGGCGCAGAAACGAGAGGCTTCGCAAATATGGTTTCCAATGGTTTGTGGTCAGAGTCAACGCATACTGGTCTTCCAAATGTGTACTGATGAAATCGTTCTGCCGCGAACACAATCGCCAAGAGTTCTTTCTCAATTTGAGCGTAATTACGCTCAGTCGAATTGAGTGCTCGACTTGCATAAGCTATTGGTCTGTCATCTTGCAATAAAGCAGCCCCAAGTCCCCCTTCGCTTGCATCACACTGTATGACCAATTCTTTTTCAGGTTCGTAGAACTTGAGTAAAGGCGGTTTGGTAACGAGCTCTTTCAACTTCGTGAATGCTTGGTCATGAACTTGATCCCATACAAAAACAACGTCCTTCTTAGTAAGTTGTCGCAAAGGTTCCGAAACGTCAGACAACTGTGGCAAAAATTTGGCTAAATAGTTGATGGTTCCCATAATTCTTCGTACTCCTTCTACGTTTGTGGGTCTCTCCATCTTAATGATCGCCTCAATCTTGGCTGGGTCAGGTTTCACCCCTGCAGATGTAAGAACGTGTCCGATGTAAGGAACTGACGTTTGCTTCAGCAAAAATTTCGTTCCATTCAGCTTCACTCCCCGCTCTCTGCATCGATCCAACAGTTGCTTCATTTTGGCGTCATGGTCGGTGATTGCTTCTGCCAATGAGTCGCCATTTCCGATCACCAGAATATCATCAGCGACTGTCTTGACTCCCTCAAGGTCGTCGATCGCTTGATCTAAACGGCTCTGAAATATCTCACCCGCTGGAGAAATACCAAACGGTAAACGTTTCCATTTATACCGACCGAAAGGCGTTCCAAACGTCGTGAGGAGGGAAGATTCTTCATCCAAAGGGACTTGCCAATAACCATTGAGACAGTCCAACTTGGAGAAAACTTTTGCTTTACCAAGCTCAGGTAATATATCTTCAATGGTCTGCATGGGGTGGTGACATCTCTTGAGTGCCTTGTTAAGTGGACGAGGATCTAGGCATAGGCGAATACTTCCATTGGATTTCTTTGCAACAACAATAGAATTTATCCATTCTGTAGGTTGATACACTCTCTCGATTATACCTTTCTCTTCGAGCTCAGCTAGGTGGCTTCTCAATGGATCTTTCATGGACTCAGGTATTTTTCTCACTGCTTGTTGTACAGGTTTCACGTTTTCTTCTAGTTCCAAATGGAGTTTCGGTCCAAGCTGCCCCAGTCCCTCGAAAATATCTTTGTATTCGCTAGTGATCTGTTCCATGGTCAATCCAGTTTGACTTGATTCTGGAGAGGTCAATATGGAATGCGTCGACCTTTCCGTCGGACTTGACTCTGATGACGTCATCGTGGTATGTGAATCCCCTTTCTGGTCTGACTCTGACAGAATTTTCATGTTGTCGTAATTCACATTAACAAGACCCATCTGCTGTGCTGCTCGACTACCTAGAAGATTCGTACAGTTCTCACCGTCTATAACCGTAAATTCAACCTTGTACTTCTTGCATGTTTCAGGATTTTGTAATTGCACCATACACTGACCGACTGGTTTCAAAATGGAGGAGTTATACATCTTGAGGACTTGCTTTGTTTTCTTCATTTTTTTCATATATTTCGTCCCAGACAGGTCCTTCTGTTTAATCACATTGCAAGTGGCGCCCGTATCGACTTGAAAACTTGTCCCTTTTCCCCCTTTAATGTTCATTACGGTTAGAATTTTACTCTTGAATTGTTTATATTTTGTTTGCACCGCTAAAACCTCTTGATCGTCCGGAAACTCAGGCAAAACGGAAACTGTGTACACTGAATCACCAGAGTCACTAGAAACCTCTTTGGTAATCTCCTTGACCGATCGTGTAGTTTCATTCCGTTTCTTCTGGCAAACCCTTGAGAAATGATTGCGAAAACCACAGTTCTTACACGACTTTCCATATGCTGGGCAGGAATTCTTATCAAATTCATGCATTCCCCCGCAATATTTGCAACGCTTTTTCTCGCGGGATTTTGAAGGGTCACCACGCCGATTTCCTTGACATTGTTCTCTAATTGCTTTGATTTCATGGTCGATTGACTTCTCATTAAGGCTTATCATATTTCGCAATTGCTTGGAAGTCGTCTCACTGCTTCGACAAATATCTAGGGCCTTTGCTAATGTTAACTTTCGTTCTTGTAGGAGTTTCTTTCGAACAGAATTGTCTTTAACACCCAAAACAACCCTATCTCGCAACAGGGTTTCTTTCAGACAAGTACAAAAGTTACACGATTGTGCCAAAGTTCTCAACACAATAATATATTGCTCGATTGTTTCTCCATCTTTCTGATCGCGACTATTAAATATAAACCGTTCATAGGTTTCATTGGTCTCGCCGATAAATGTGGTTTGAAATTGTTCGATAACTTTATTTAGCTTCTGCTTGTCATCGCTATCTGCGAAATGCATTCCTTCATAAACTTCCATCGCCCCGTCGCCAATTACTGACAAAAACAACGCCGTCTTGAAACGTTCGTCGAATTGTTCGAGCCGAGAAATAATTGCATAGTTCTCCCATCCTCGGCGAAATTTCTTCCAATTTGCTGCCATGTTTCCTTCCATCAACAGTGGTTTAGGAGCAGAAATTCCTGTTGGAATTATCGGTATAGACACCGAAGCTTGTGTCGTTTGTTGTATCTTGCCCTTTGGCATTGTACTTGACTCTGGCCCGTTTAGATTTTCCATCTCTTCAGTATCAGACATATTTGCAGCTTCTGTGCTTGTCACTATCCCACTCCTGACACCATGTTTCGTTATATGACAAAAAGCACACAAACCAACTACAACATACTTCGATATATTTAGCTAACTAATAATACGAAATGTTTACTTGGCTTAAATAGGCTACTAACTAATTATACATGCATGCAAATATTTTTATAATTGTTTTTATGAATATTGCAACATTACTCGTCTCACGGCCAAACATTGTCATTGACCAACCTCGCAAGCACACCTGCGGCGGGACGGAGACCTTTGCTTGATGCGAAGTTGAACATTGCCATTGGCCTGTTTATGAAATTATACTACGTTTAGAAACTCTTTTAAGACTTTTAAGTTAATATTGATAATAAATGCTCTTTGACTTTGCTTTTAATAAAAACATTCCGCCTTTTTATCTAAAAATGCCTTAATCACAAGTGGCCTGGGACATTACGCGCTAGAAGATATGCTGCGTGCGTGAAACCTTTTAACCAGACGACCCAAACCATCAACTTAATGAGTTAGTTTCTAGACCAGAATTCTCCCTTAATTTATGATTTACATAAGGAGAAACACCGTTTTAAAAACTCTTATCGTTAGTAGTTGTCTTAGTTGTCGTAAAAATACAACCCTTGACTTTTTTTACGACCCTCGACTTTTTACCCTCACTCTCGACTTTTTACCCACCCTCGACTTTTTACCCTCACCCTCGACTTTTTACCCCCACCCTCGACTTTTTACCCTCACCCTCGACTTTTTACCCTCACCCTCGACTTTTTACCCTCACCCTCGACTTTTTACCCTCACCCTCGACTTTTTACCCTCGACATTGGACCCTCGACAAAAACCTAAACTCGTCTGACTGGGGTGATCGACCCCACTGAGTCTTTTGGGTACTTGAAATGTTGAAAGGATATGAAAAGCTTGGTTCACGCCTTGACACACGCTTCTATCCTTCGTAATATGTTACAACAAACACCAATCTTGTGCTCTAGTTGCTCTAGTGAGTATCGAGCATATTTATTCAAGGCAATGTGTACAACAGCATTTTTTGCCTTTCTACGGATTGGTGAAATTACATGTTGTTTTAAACATATTTAATGCGAAAAAACGATTCGCGCGTTTGGCCCAAGAGCAAGATGGTCATCTAGGGGGACTTACGCTAATAATATATAAAGATATAAATTACATTAAAAAGTTACAACAACACAATACACACAAGATAATATTAAACAAAGTGTCAAACATTCGACTACGTAATAACTAGGGTCACAAAGCAAGTACACACTTAATAGGGTTAGATACATAAAGAACACATATTGAGAAACAGACAAAAAGGTATGAAAGGACAGTAAATACAGATTAATATATTGACAATTTGTATGAATAGTATACAAAAACAGGCAAAATAAGATACACAGGTACCGTATAAAAGGACTTGAAATCACATATCAATAAATTAGAATCGACAGGATTCCTTGTATAATTCTGAACATTTTGAAAAAGATACATATTTTCATTAAATGTTAATTCACTCGACCCACAAAGGAGCAAATTAGTCTTTCGATTAGGCCAAATAAAAAAAAATACTTGGTTAGCGTCACACTCTCACAAATTTTCAGAGGCGGGCGGGCGGATTTTTTTACTAAATTTTTACTCGTTTTTTAATTTTTTAATAGTATTTTTGGAGGGGATGGGGGGCGGTTTTTCCACCATATCGGTGATATTTTTTGTACTGATGTTGCGAAGGCCGCCATTTTGCTTTAAGAACCTTGTATACCCAAGCCTACGCGCTCCTATCGATCAGTATATAGCGCGAAGGTCTGAGCATGAGAAAAATTTCAAATATTAAACTGTTTTAAGCTGTAAAACGAAGAGATTTACATAAAAAAAATAAAACAAAATTCAGAGGCGGCAGAAAATCGAGAGGCGGGCGGTGACGCTAACCAAGTATTTTTTTTTATTTGGCCTTATCTGAGCTGTGATTCCAACGTTGCCCTAATAAAATTACATGTTACCTCCGGTCACCGACCGTGTTTCAAATTTATTATTAGTTGCTGGGGCACCTGTGCCAGCAACTATAGGTTTCGGGCAGAGGAGGCAGCAGGAGTGAGGACTATACCGGCATGCAACGCGGTCAGGCGCGGTTTTTTACATATTATCGATTTCTCGCTCTGCGCCGTCATTGTTCGGTCGGCTTTCGCTGTGTTTACACCTCGAGGTTTCAAGAGATTCAGAAAAGATTTATCGAAAAAATATTGTAAAATGGTGGATTTTTGCACTATGCATGGAAACAAAGCTTCGTTTTTGGGTGGACACGAGCTTCTGTATGTTACTGTGTGTCAAAACAGCCTTTAATTTTGATTCCGGAAGAATTACCGTGTGATGAACTTGAATGTCGTGTGGTTGATGTTTATAGTTTTACGGATAGTTCGAAGAATAGTCCTTTGTCCAGCTGTGGTTAACGGGATAAAAATTGATGAAATTGTTCGCTGATTGCGGTAGTCCTGCACTGGTACAAATTCACTGTAGTTGTGTTTTTAAGGTGAGATGATTTTTATATAAAAATTAAAATAGAAATATAAAAATGCTCCAGTGTTGTATAAATACAGCAGTAATAATTAAATGTATTTTTATTTCATATCATGTAGTTTGTAGTTCTTCGACCCTAATGATCTACGGGAAGGAGGTATAAACAAAGAATATAACAATGTTATGTTGTTGGGAGTTTGACATTTCAACATCACCAACATCCCAAGCAATCCCACCATGTGACCCAGATAGTCAAGATGATGAGCTGGATAGTGTCTTCCACCAACAGAATTACATCATCCAACTGATTGTATAACTATTTATATTGCCAATAAACCCTGTTTGCCCTGACAGACATTCATACACACCGAATGATGGAAGAAGCGCCCAGTGTTAGCATTGTTGTAAAGAATGAAATGGAGGAAATTCAACACTATCGCAACACTATATATAAATCTATTGACTACTGTGTGATGCGTTGCAAGGATTTATACTGATCAACCAGTTATCTATGCTCAAATAATCAACCAGTTGTGTATTATTATACTCTGCCTAACGCCAGATTATTTTACTGTCTAACACTAGACTATTTACTCATCGGGGGGAGAGTGCTGACACTCAAATACTCAATGGGTTAAAAAACATTGAAAGAAAATGTTTAGCAGAAGCTGCAAAATTGTTTATTGGTGTCTGGTGTAATACTGACATTTCTTTTATTTGTAAGGATAGAGCTGGGGAACCTGTAGTGGTACAGTCTTGGCCCTACCCCGGTTTTCCTGTACTGCATGTGTTTTCGTCACTTCCCTGATTATACCATAAGTATTGTATCCCATGCATGGACACCATCTTATCAATTATGCAGTTTTTTGACAATCTACCGTAAACCTCCACCTAAAAGCACTGGGCTTATATTCTTTCGTAAGCGATTTTTGATGGGCTTACACAAGGGGGGCTTATACATGGGGGGGGGGGGGCTTATATTCGGGGGTTTATGGTATGTATGGTTTTCATGATTTTCAGTGTATAGTCTTCCCTTGCTCATCACAAATTAATAAAAAGATCACACACTACATATTAATTGATGTTGATGAAATTTATTTATTTTAAAATTGAAAAAATACTAACATAATATTACTGTACTTAAAGATAATTAAAATGTTTTTAAAAATAAAATCTTATGTGCACAATTTTAAAATGTTGCACACATTCATTTCACTAGAAACACGGATGCTATATGATAAAGTATATGAAAGGTGATGCTTTTGCTCTAGCTTAATGATGTATTAAAACAACTAGAGGTATTACATAATTGGTAAACCTCTTCAATCGTAATCATTTGCATGATTTCAATGAATGCTTTATCTTCCTCAAATGTCCATTTATGAAGTTTTACTGGGGATTTCTTTGGAGGAGTCGGTTTAATCTTTCTGATAGGAAAC